TTTTTTTTGTCAAAATTTTTCAAAAAGTGCCTAAAAACGCCTTTTTTTCAAAAATTTGCCTGTGGCGTAGAAAATTTTGCCAAAATAGGGGCAAAACGTGCTTTGGGAGAGCTCAAAAAATCAATTTGGTCGACCTGAAAAAAAAAGGGTCGTCAAAATTTTCGATTTCTTTTTGAAAATCTGCCCCACCCTCGAGAAAATCCTAGATCCGCCCCTCTACAGCAGTGTATTTGATTTTTTGGAAAGTTTTCCATAAAATGGGATTTTAAATCGTTATAATTGATCATATTCGATTATATTAGATTTAAATGATTTAACCAAAAAAAAAATTTCAATTTATTACCTTTCGATTATATTCCATTAATTTTAAATTTTATTGTGACGGACTATGAACATCCAATATACTCAATTTTTACTGAATTAGATCGTTTTTACTGAATTAATTTTCAAAATCTTCGTTTAAAAACATATTACAATCTTTATTTGCCTAGTTTTTTGGAGATATCTTCCTTCTAGAATTTTTTTGGGACTTAGAAGACTACTTTTTGATACAATTTATTATCAATCACTGTAGTAATTTTAGCTTAATTCTCGATTAACTTAGAAAAATCATAAATGCACCGCTTTTGGAGTAAAATTTTGATTGCGAACTTCGAAAAATAATTTGCACCATGATAGTTCTGGTGAAAATCGGAGCAAACTTCTTTTCCTTTAACTTTTGTCTAATTTTACCCCAATTTCAGAAACATGCGTTTAATTTTTTCAATGTTGTTCGTTTTTTTTCCGGTTAATTTATAGTTAAATCCAAATTATTTATTGGCAGTATATTTTCATAAGATTCGAAACAAGCTTCCAGTTTTTTTAGTTTTGCCGCTTTTCATGTGTGCAACTACTTCTTCCTTTGTTGTCTTCGATAGCGGGTTCAGATATTAGTATCTTTCCCGTACCATTCGAAGCATTTTGATTTGGCATATCCGGTACCCTTTGTTAGGTTCATCAGATCATAATAAGATCAACTCGGGGCGGAAATTGAATATAGTAAGAATTACATATGCATATCGAAAAGTAGGAAATTGCGACTACACTTATTTTTAAAATGGGCAATTTGGTCAACATCTAATTGAAAAACAGGTTTGTTCTTACGTGATAATAAAGACTTTTTGGTCTATTTCAGTACGTGAGTATCGTAACCAAACTGATACGTGTTGCGTGCTTACTAGTCATTAGACGAGAAATGTTTATGATAACGCCAGGCGACTGCAAGAGAATGCCCCTAAAAGGCACATTTGGATATGTGCCTTTTACCAAACTAACGTTGTCGTTTCAACATCTGCGTTTCAAGTAAAACTTAAAGGTGTTCTGATCTTCCGGCGTATTGAATTGCCTGTATAGTTAATCCTAATACAAGTGTTCGCAACAAAATATAACAAAACCGCTGGTATCATCATAAATTTCCGACTGCCTTTTACGCTCTATAGAGTAGAGTTCGTTTTGAAAAATGGTGAAACTTTCAAAAAATCAAAAATTTATCTTTTCAGATTTTTTAAAACCATCCCCTACACGCTATGTAAAGATACAAATAATCTATTTCGAATATCGCGAAACAATAAGAATAACAAAGAACCAACAAGGTTATCAACAAAATCAAAACCATGCCTACATTTTTTTCAATTCATAAAGGCAACAGTACAGTAAAGAAAACATCGATTTCATATCAATTTCTGGTTATTTAAAGTTTAGATATGGCAGGTGACAAACGTAAAAAATGGCAGGTGACAAAAGTAAAACTGGAAAAAAAATCTCTCTAGAATGTGGTATCAACTCATGTGGCAGAAAATATATAATAGAACAGTTAAAATCCAGCTCGAAACTTGATTTCGGCTCTTTAGAAGAAAAGGCGAAACATTTAGGCTGCGAGGAGCGCTTCACTCATTTTCACGCAATTCGTTTTCACAAACTGAAAGTTTTTATCCCTGAAAAAGAAAGAAGGGTAAAAAAAGACTTTTTGGATTGGTAACCAAAATGAAAATGCCGCAAACGATAAGAATGGACAAACAATGGGATTGCAGTAGCTAGAAATAAAAATAGATTTCATATCTTTGATCAAAATATTGAACGAGAAAATTTTTTTTATCAAAACAAACTGCAGACGCAAGCCTCAAAAAACAGAAGGGATTTTTTTTCATTTGAAAAACAATCTTACTGGGACTGCAAAAAAAACAAGTGTTTGAACACCGTGACTGTTAACACAGATGTAGATTTGTTCAAAAATTTTTTAGCAAATAGAAGCAAAAATCAGCGAACACTTTCCAAAAACCACACATCAGACACAACAGCAAAAAAAAATGTAAAAAAAAACAATGTTTTTGAGACAAGTGGCAAACAGTGAAAATGAACAAATCTTGGAAAATTGGAAAAAAGATTCAGCCTGATCTGCCACAACATCAATCACGTTAGCACTCTCAAAAGGAGAACTTTTGGAGCTTGTCCTGACAACATTTTTTGAGCTCAATGAATTTAGCAAAATTGATACTGGTAGATAAAATCTTATTGATCTTGAGCCTTCCATTTTTAGCCAAAAAATCTTTTTAACTGTCTTCGGCAAAACACTAGAACAATTATTCTCCAGACGAGTTTTATAATTTTTTAGAGTTTGAATTCAGACAAAAAAGAGGTACAGTTGACGCTATTGTACTCTAGTAAAAGAAATCCGATTTCATTAGAACAAACCAGCCATTGAAACTTCTTGGAACAAATATTACAGTTAAAGTATAAAAGGACCAGAATATGATTTTCCAGTTTCATATATATCAGAACGCAAACATGTCTAAGCGTCAACAGATGCAGAGCGCGAATTTAAAAAAAAAACGCGGAACCCCTTGGGGCTCAATTCCAGGAGCTCTACTTTTCTTTCTGTTTAATCATGTTGTACCAAAACTGAATGCAAACACCAGTTTCTATCTCTCTACCGATGATACAGCCAAAAAAGCAATCTGCAAAATGAATACTGATTGAAAACCATTAAATAGGCCTTGACAAAATGAAAAGATTGGTTGGAAGAAATCAAACTGATTTTGATCCTAGGTAAAACCAAAACAGTTAGGTTCACAAAACGGAGTGAAAAAACAACTATTCAAAACAAAGGAAAATTGAAGACATAGAGCAGAATTCTATTTTCAAGTATCTGGATATGTATCTCGATAGAAACCTGGAACTCAAAGATAACATTGAGTTTGTTAATAAAAATCTTGAAACTTTCTGTGGAATCTTTCATCAACTGCGTAAGATTTTAAATAAACAGCAACTGACCCAATTTATCAAACATACGTTAAACTTGTTGTTCAATATGGCGTGTTTATGTACAACTCGACTTCAAAATCAAACCATGACAAGATTGATCTCAAAATCAACAGATTACCTGGCGTCTTAAATTTGAAGAAAAAGTCCAAATCAGTTTATTTTTTGCGGGAAAAAATGAAATCATAAAAGTTAAAGAGCTTCACTTTTACGAATTCTTGAAAGTTCTCTGTAAAATTATTTGCTCTGAATGAGAATCTGTGACTCTCAGCGAAAAAATCACGTCCGACGAACTCTTCAATTTGAATCATAATTGTAAAAGATTACTGAAACAAGTGATGAACTCTAAAAATCACCGTACATTCTCAATTGTTACGAGAATTCAAAAACTCTACAATTATCTCAAAAACCTTTTTCCGATTCATTCGAAATGATTAGCAAATTAACACGCAATGAATTTAAAAACTTTCTCCATAAAGACGACAAAAATAGGAAATAAAAATTTAATAAATTTTGATTCTAATCTTTTCTCTTAGTATCAGAAACTTTCGTATATTTTTGATAGTATCTCGATCGAAGTATCTCTATCAAGTATCTCGATAGAAACCTGGAACTCAAAGATAACATTGAGTTTGTTAATAAAAATCTTGAAACTTTCTGTGGAATCTTTCATCAACTGCGTAAGATTTTAAATAAACAGCAACTGACCCAATTTATCAAACATACGTTAAACTTGTTGTTCAATATGGCGTGTTTATGTACAAGTCGACTTCAAAATCAAACCATGACAAGATTGATCTCAAAATCAACAGATTACCTGGCGTCTTAAATTTGAAGAAAAAGTCCAAATCAGTTTATTTTTTGCGGGAAAAAATGAAATCATAAAAGTTAAAGAGCTTCACTTTTACGAATTCTTGAAAGTTCTCTGTAAAGTTATTTGCTCTGAATGAGAATCTGTGACTCTCAGCGAAAAAATCACGTCCGACGAACTCTTCAATTTGAATCATAATTGTAAAAGATTACTGAAACAAGTGATGAACTCTAAAAATCACCGTACATTCTCAATTGTTACGAGAATTCAAAAACTCTACAATTATCTCAAAAACCTTTTTCCGATTCATTCGAAATGATTAGCAAATTAACACGCAATGAATTTAAAAACTTTCTCCATAAAGACGACAAAAATAGGAAATAAAAATTTAATAAATTTATGATTCTAATCTTTTCTCTTAGTATCAGAAACTTTCGTATATTTTTGATTTCTAAGCAAATCATTTTTCATTTCTGTAGTTGTTTGAAATGAGTTTTTTAACAAAAATGATGGAGGTTTTACACCACCAGCTCAATTAAAACTTTGCTTTTTTGCCTTCAGAGACATCTGAAAAAACGCAGAAAATTTGTTTAATGACGATCTCCAGACTGGGTTCTTTCATGGGGTCATTTAAATAGGCTACACTCAATTCGTAAACTCCAATGTAGTCTGGGCATTTGTATGAAACAGAATTTTTTGTATATTTATCTTTTGGAACAAGTAACGTAGCAGTCATTGCAGTCATCCAGATTTTAATTCCAACCAAGTGGTTTCGGAGACCAATATTTATTCATACAATATCCGTAGCATCGGATATTTTTGTTAGGTAGTCACCTTTAAAAATACGAAAAGGTAAAATAATTTAATTTCAAATTAAATGATAATACTCACCTCAAATTCTCTACATTTTAGCATTAGCAAACACTATGAACATAGTTTTAAGCTGTTTTTTATGATTTTTAAAATTCTAATGGATGGCTAATTTATTGGACTTATTAATAATTGGAAATTGGCTACATAACCGAACTTATAATCATAACTTTCAGTTTTACATTGTTCAGAATATGACGATTAACTACTCAGACAAATATGCGACCCAATACAAAATATTGAAAAACAAAAACGCCGTCGGAAAAGCAACGCGGCTGAATGAGTCAATCAAATTTGTCAAATCTTCTTTCGGAGGAGGCGGCGCCATTCCGATTGTTGCGATTGGCTGAGTTTCCGCTTCTTTTTCGTCCAATTGAATTTGAACAGACTGCTCTGATGTTCCATTAGTCCCGTTTGTTCCGTTACAGTCAGTGACATGTCGTTTGTGGAGTTCTTCTTTACGGGGAGAGACATCTGTCAGACACAAATAGACGTCTCCCGATACTTTCTGCCTATTTGCCGATTTTTCTCTCTTATTCTGAAATAAAAAAAACGTCTCTAGATACCTTTTGCCAATTTTCCAATTGTTCTTTTTCACTTTTGAAATAAATATAAACAACTGGTAAAACTTTTTTATTCAAAATGTGCTCTTCACTCTCTTTGCAAATCTTATATTGCGTATCTCAACTTTTCCATGTTGCTGTAGTTTCCTCTAAAATTACTTGTGAGAGCTGAAGTTTAGATAAGACTGCTGGTATCAGAGCGAAGTCTTTTATGTTCTGACTGCTGTTTAACGTGTCTGAAGTACAGTGCTGATTTAAATTAACCGGACAAAACGCGTTAAACTTGAAATTTAAAACCCGTTTTTCTCAAATTGGGTTGAGTTTAGGTGAAAACTTATGAAGACAAGACTAGCTTAAAATTTTAGCAGAATTAATATGGTGTAATTTGTTTTTCCGAAATGCGGGCCCAAAATTTTACCCCAAAAATGGGTCATTTTGGCTTTTCTTACTTAATCAAAAATTACGCCGAAAATACCCATTCAATCTCAGACATAATTATATCAAAGTGAGCCCCTTACGTAGTCCAACAAACTTTAAGCAAGGTATAATCTCCAAAATATTGCATAAAATAATTTATTTTTGTTTGATAGCCAAAAAAGTCGTTTTTCTATAAAAAATACCAACTATTTATTTAAAAACAATTTTTAAACGATTTGCAAATTTTTTTGGAGAATATACACTTCTTAAAGTTTGTTGGGCTACGTAAGGAGCTCACTTTAATATATTTATGTCTGTGATCGACTGGGTATTTTTTGGCGTAATTTTTGATTAACTAAGAAAAGCCAAAATGGCCCATTATTGGGGTAAAATTTTAAGCAAGTTTTGTCTTCATAAGTTTTCAGCTTAACTCAACCCAATTTGAGAAAAACGCGTTTAAAATTTGAAGTTTAGCTCGGTTTGTCCGGTTAATTTAAATTAATTTAAATCAGCACTGTAGCAATTTAAAAAAATTATGAACTAGGTTTAGTTTTTTACATTCAAGGTCAAGAACTAACAAAGATAAAGTCATCGTCTGAAAAAGCCATGACTCTGATTAATTAGCTAGCTTCAAGTTAACTTCAAGTGGTTTCTGAGCCGGATTAAGTCATCGACGACGCTGCATGTCATTAGAAATTCGGATTTTTGAGCATAACTTAATCATCTTCATTAGACTAATTTGGTAACTCCAAACGACGCCAAGCTTGGTTTATTAACAAAGCAAAAACCTGTACTTGGTTGCTTCTGAGTCTCCTACAGACGCATCTTTTGCACGAAGCTGTTGTAGCCGGAATACAGAAAAGAACGATAAAAATCTGACAATCTGATAAAATCTGATCAAAAATTTGGACTAATTTTGGCGTACATAAAAAAAGTGGCTACATTTTATTGGCCGTTCTGCCTGTTGACTAAAGCGGTTTGGCCGGTGAAAACTTTTCGATGAAAAAATGCAAATAATCGGGTTCCAGATGCAATTTGCTGATTTGTTGTCACTGGATTTCAAAATTTGTAACTATATTCTGTCATTTGTTCCATAGACTCTCCACTTTTTCGCTCAATTTTGCTCTCAACCACTGCAATCCGCTATTTGTCTTTTAACAGCAAAATTTTGCGCCGCCATACCGGACAAGTTTTGTTGGAATTTACTTCATTTGAAAACACATCCGTGAAAACCAAACCAAGTTAATTATGACCTATTTGTAATACTCATAGTGTAATTTCAGATATGGTACGCCGTCTGCTCGTCACGCTATCTTATTTTCGGCCGGATAGATTCGTGCAACTTCTTAGTCTAATACCAATCTTAATCTTACTCTTATATCTCCTAGTCTCAATAGATCTAGGGTATACTGGTTTATGCGAGTTAATTTCCAGAAGGAGAACAACTGTATTCTAAGTTTAATTCAAATTGCTCTAGTGCTGAAACTACAAGTGGTTTCAGCACTTACAAATAAGTGTTTATGTTGGAGATGGAATATGATTGGTTAGTTAGGAATATTTTATATGAATAGAGAATTATTTTTAAAACCAATTTTAAATTCTAGTTTAGAACTGGTTCCACCCATCCTGGATTTAGAGAGTTTTTAGTCTTTAAAGGTTTAATGTAGAGAAGGACGGGTGATGTAGTTTCTTATTGAAGTTGCGAGCATTGACTTTTTGGAGTTAAGAGAAGAGTGGCTGTTCGTGTTTGAAGGAGGGAGATCGTTAGGTTCGTATCTTCTAAATGGGTTTTGTTGATCGTGGTAGTCTTGGGTGATTTTGTCAAGACTTCTGATCGATGCAATGATGTATCGATTTCGTTAAGCTTAGATCGAGACTACGTGCAGGGTAAAGTTTGACTTTTTCGTGTGAAGTGCCAGGTGACTAGAATTTGTACGTGTAGTCAACATCGAGATGGCCATTGGCAACTAGTTCCACCCATCCGGGGCTTACAGATTTTATAGATTTTAATTGTTTGATGCAGTTAAGGACGAGTGATGTAGTTTCTTTTTGAAGTTGCGAGCATTGACTTCTTGGAGAAAAGAGAAGTGTGGTTGTTTGTGTTTGACGAGGGAAGATTGTTATGTTCGTATCTCTAGATGGGTCTCGTTGATCGTGGTAGTCTTGGTTGATTGTGTCAAGACTTCTGATTGATGCAATGATGTATCGATTTTTTTAAGTTTAGATCGAGACTACGTGCAGTATGAAGTTTGACTTTTTCGCGTGAAGTGCCAAGTGACTAGGATCTGTACGTGTAGTCAACATCGAGATGGCCATTGGCAACTAGTTCCACCCATCCTGGGCTTAAAGATTTTATAGATTTTAATTGTTTGATGTAGTGAAGGACGGGTGATAGTTTCTTTTTGAAGTTGCGAGCATTGACTTCTTGGAGAAAACAGAAGTGTGGTTGTTTGTGTTTGAAGGAGGAAGATTTTTATGTTTGTATCTCTAGATGGGTCTCGTTGATTGTGGTAGTCTTGGTTGATTGTGTCAAGACTTCTGATCGATGCAAGGATGTATCGATTTCGTCAAGTTTAGAGCGAGACAACGTGCAGGGTGAAGTTTGACTTTTCCGTGTGAAGTGCCAAGTGACTAGGATCTGTACGTGTAGTCAACATCGAGATGGCCATTGGTCTGATTCAATGGTTTTACTTTGCTGCGATGTTGAGTCCATACTTTAAATCATTTGAGGTAGTGACCATAGGCAGCAAATCGAATAGATTTGCCATTCCGAACCTGGAATGTGATTGGATTGTCGTCTCCTTTGCTGCTCGTTTTTTGGGCTCTACAAAATTTATACATACCGCCTTTATCATTTACATATCTAATTTCTTTTGTTATTTTAGATTTAGTTATGATTCGATATTAGTGGTTATCGCAAATGCGTTTTTATATTAGTTTGGTTTTTTTTTAAGAGTCGCTCACCCTAGAGCAACTCTTGGCGAAAATAGAGTGTGGTCACAAAGCGTGGTTGTAGCCCGGTGGGTTAAGCCGGCTATAGAGCATTCTCAGGACGTCCCTCTGTTTGGTGAGGCCAGGAGGGGGGTATAATTTTATGGTCTCTTTGTGCAGAGTACCTTTTTGTGTTCAACCTTATGTTTCTTTTTTATCACTTGTTTTTCTCTTTTTTGTTTTAGTTGTATTCTTGTTTCAAAAATGAATCTTTTGGTTTGGTTTTGTCTTTCGACTTTTTTGTGTTTTATTCGAATGAATCAATTTTTTTCATATTAACTAACTTTTGTATTTTTATTCAATAAATTATTTTATTCAAAATGTTTTAATTTACTGCAGGTGTTTTGGAGGGAACGACTCGTGTTGTTTTTATGAGTCGTTATTGTATAAATAGTAGATTTAGCACCATTAAGGATATTGAAGGATTTCTTCAAATTTCATGTCAGCAAATGAAAATTTGAATTTACTGCGGAAAAGATTCTAAATATTAGGTTTGTTCCGGTTTCCGCCGTACTATCATGAAATGAATCTGTAGATTTCTTCCTAATCGTAGATCTTGCCTTGTCCTTGGTTTTCTCGCAATACCCGGTATTTCTCGTATTGTTTGAAAAATTGGCGGCGATCTATTGAGTCGGAGAGACATTTCTAATAAATTGTCTTTTACATCTAACTTTTTTTTGCAATTTTGCAATTGTCTAATTCTAAAATCTAATTTTTCTAATTCTAAGTTAGTTGAGGTCTTGTTCGAGACTTTTGGTCGCACCAGATGAGTTAGGACCCATTTGGTAATTCTCATAGTGTAATTTCAGATAAAGTACACCGTGTGCTCGTCACGCTATCTTATTTTCGGCCGGATAGATTCGTGCAACTTCTTAGTCTAATACCAATCTTAGTCTTACTCTTATATATCCTAGTCTCAATAGATCTAGGGTATACTGGTTTATGCGAGTTAGTTTCCAGAAGGAGAACAACTGTATTCTAAGTTTAATTCAAATTGCTCTGGTGCTGAAACTACAAGTAGTTTCAGCACTTACAAATAAGTGTAAATGTTAGAGATGGAATATGATTGGTTAGTTAGGAATATTTTATATGAAAAGAAAATTTTAATTATAACCAATTATAAATTCTATTTTAGAACTGGTTCCACAAGCATGGCCAATCACTTGTTTCCAAATTTTGTTTTGTTTCTGAGTTCCAAACTTTTGCTAGCTGCCAAAACTTGCTTGGTATTAAAACATGCGTCCTTTTATAAATCATGCGATTCCTATTTCTCCAGCTATTCCTGTTTCTCAACAAGTTTAATGGATTTATGAGGACGTCCTTGGAATCTAAACAATTATCAAAATACCGGAGCTTGGCGCCCAAATGCTCCCATAATTTTACAGAACAGCATGTTACCAATGAAAAATCTTCTTAAATTTCAGGCTATGTTTATCATATTTTTAGATAGTTCATGTCAGACAACAGAAAACGAACTAAGATTTCATAGAAAACGAAATAGTCGCAAAAATACATGTCAAAAAGAGTTAACAAACTTTTTAATTTGACGTCTTCCATGTGAGTAAAATTGATGGAAAGCTTTTTGAAAGTTTGAGAAATGTCCAGAATTTTTTTTATTGTCTTCCATGTATTTTTTCAAGCATTTTGACGTGTAGATTTTTTGTTCATAATGAAATTATCTAAACCTTGGAAGTGTGTTCAATATTTTTTCCTATTCACATAATTTTTAAGAAATACTTCTAGTGGCTTTCGCTTTGTCCTCATTTTGATTCAGCAGACTCTTTTTCTTGAAACTTATTTGATAATGGTAAGTTGGTTCGTTTTCGACTACAGAAGCAAGAGCGGTTAAAGTTTTTAAAATTTTGAGGCCTAAAATTAGTGTTTAAAAAACCTCGAAAACCAATTGTTTCTGAACAGTGATTTTTTAAGAAGTTTTAATCCACCCCCTCAATTCTGGTTGCAATTTTTTTGCAATTCTGGTTGCCAAATTTTTTAAGATAGCGGAAATTACCTGAAAATCTTATAAGAAGTTCTAAGAAGATAGGAGATTTTTTGAATAATGGTCACCAAGCCCCCCCCCCCCCCCCCCAACCTCCCCTTCAATTCTGGTTGCCAAATTTTTCCGAAGGGTCCCCTTTGGTATAAATTTAATAGATACATTTTGGCTGGCCAACATCAAAAATTTGCTAAAGGCGTCTTCGACGCCAATATAACTAAATTTGAGGAGCAAACGCACGCCCAAATTTTTGGTCAAATATTTTTAAAAGGGCTGAAACCGGCATTTTTGATCAGTTTTTCAAAAATTGGCTCAAAGTGTTGGTTGACAAAGGGTCTTTAAAGTGATTTGGGAGTGCTCAGAAAATCATGTTGGTCGACCCAAAAAGGTTGAATTTTGATGCCATCTACACGCCAGCCGATCGTGGGTTAAATATTTTCAAGGTCAAAAAACATGAAGTGAATTATCACGTAATACACTGTTTGCTCACCGCTTTCTCGACTGCCTTTTTGTGTCGTCTGCTGGCCATTTTGCGGGAGAAGTAGTTGACGATGGCGAACTCGATGAGGGCGGCAAACACGAACAGGAGACACACAGCCATCCACAGGTCAATAGCCTTTACATACGACACCTAGATACAGAAGACTTTCATATAAATAAAGGTTGAAAATATGGGATCAATCGTAATGCACTATCAGAAAATTAATTCGGATGTGTACAAAAATGCCCACTATGGCAACGGGGAGATTCTTTAAAAGGTGAAAACTTCGCTTATGCTTAAAAAGAAGCGGATCTAAGATTATCTCAAGGGAGGGGGGGGGGGGGCGTATTTCCAAAAAAAATGAAAATTTGTCTGCCTTTTTGGTCGACCAAGTTGATTTTCTGAGCTCTCAAAAATCACTATAAAGACCCTATTGTAACCTCATTCTTGAGAAAACAACTAAATAAAGACTTTTTTAGCCATTTTTTGGAAGGTTTAAGCAATAAAACGCACTTTTTTGGCGCACGCACCTCCTCAAATTTAGTATATGTTGGCGCCTAAAGGAGGTTTCAAAATAATAAACAAAGGGGGAACTTTTGGGTGGTCAGGGGGTCGAATTCCTCTAGGGGAGAAAAGAGGGCATCTGCTCACCCCATCCTTCACTTTCTCCCTTAATGCACTACTGTGCTTTTGATCGTTCAGTTAGTTCTTTATAGGGTGTCAATTTGTTTTAAAGAGCCACAGGGGGATACTAAAGAGATACAGTAGGCTGAATTGTCAAAACATATTATTCTGTTTATTCAGTAAAATAAAAACTTGCCCTCCCGATCGAAGGGTGAAATTTGGCAACAGTTGATTCAAAATAAAAAATGGGGAAAATCGAAGAGGAAGTTTCTGAAGTATGAGTATGTATCTAAAAAAGCGCCGTGCTAGGCTAATGGTGCTTTTTTAATCAATTGAGTCATTTTCTTTATACAATTGATGCCCTTTTCGCTTTGCCTCAACTGGAAATATTTAATCTTTTTTATTGATCAACCTGTTCATCTGCTTTATTCAGAATATAATTTTGGGGCACTTTAGGGAATAAAATGCCCAACTGGCAAGTTAAGTGTTAAGAGCCACTCTTCTCCTCGACGATAAACTTAATACTACTTATTTTATAAAGACTAAAAACTGTTTTGTCATTGGTTGAGCTGTTGTTTACTATTTTTTGTTTAAATATTTGATTGCTACCTCCACCGCGCCAAAAACTATGAAAAAACTCAAAACTTTTTCTTTCTATAAAAATGGAAGTTTCTGTGCTTCTTGCACAATAGCCAGTTTTTCTCCATGCTTCCGTATTTTGATAATTTCTTAAAAATCTCGAAAGACTTCACATGTACAACTAATGCCTAATTTTTCAACTGTGTTTTGACTAGACACTACCTATAATTTTATGAAGTCTTCGCCAATTAATTTATTTTGAAAATTAAGAAAAATCGAAATCTTATTTCAAAAATACGCTCAAAACGAGCAGGAAAATTTTCGTAAATGATTTTTGATAAGCGATGAGTCAGCTTCAGGAGACTCTTGCTATTTATGTATATGAAATTGAAAAGATTATAGGAACCCGTAATTTTTTGGGCCATAAAAGAAACTCTCTCTATTAAAAAATTGTCGGTCAACAATTTTGTGTATGTGCAATTGCGTCTAAATTTTATATCCCTCATGCCAATAAAATGCAAAGCGATTTATATTATGTCTCTATGTTGCAATTTTAAAAACAAATTGTGCGTCTCAGTTCTAATTGAAACATTTTTTTTTGCGGTTTACGGTTGAGTAAGATGAAATTTCACCGCTGATTTATATTAACCAGTCAGAACGAAAAAAAGAACATTTTCATCTCAAATTGGGTTGAAGTTTTACATAACAAGGTGATTTTATCAGAGTTTTATCTGACAAAATATAATACTCTTTTGCCCTAGTCTGGCCTGTTAATTTGTCCAAAAAACGAATCATTTAAGGTTTTTTTAAGTCAATCAAATTTTATGCCAAAACTATCACCGCAATTGCTGACGTGAGCTGCTTGTGCATCCCAAGGCAGTTTAAAAATTCAAAAAAATCTCAGTACTTTGAGCCAAACAATTAAAAACTGTTTTAGGTTTAATAGATTTTCAAAATGTCAAAACTTTGTTATCAAAATTTTTTTATTTATTTATTGAAAATTGAAAAGATTTTCAGCCTCATTATTTTTTGTTGCGACATATAAGAAGCTCAGTTTGATGTGCAATGCTAGCATTAGTACAAATAAATTTAAATTTTTTCTGATTGACTGACCAAATTTGATTTGTTTTTGGGTAAAAACTTTTCGCCCAAAATTTGCAAAATAAATTGCAGCATTTTGTTTTTGTTAAAACTCTGAGCAATTTGTCTTCATTATTTTCAGACGTAAGTCAACCCAGTTTGAAAAAAAAACAAAACACTGTTTCAAAAATTTATATCAACGCTGATTTACTTGTCCTGTCAATAATTTTAAAAATTTCAAAACAAAAAACGAAACGATTTTCTGATGACAAAAACTTGATCAAAAAAACGTGCATAAAATTTTCACAGAATTCAAAGGGTGCAATATATTTTTCAAAATGCGGCCCAAAATTACCCATTAAAACTCAGTTTGAGCGAAGGGTCCTAGGAGGGTTCAGAAAAGTTTATGAAGCATGACTTTTTGTTTATGAAGCAAGAATTTTTGTTGCTATGAGTTACGAGGAGATTTTGTGGTCCTGCTCCTGGAGAGATATTATTATCGTTTGCTAGTTCAAGTTGTTAAGAGGTAGAGGGAATTTATTGATACAACAATTTGGCTTTTATTCAAAAGTTACACCAAAACTACCGGTCAATTGGTGGCCAAACTGACCAAAGTGAGTCTCTCTTGTTTCGCAGCCAAATACCGAAAAAATAGAATTTTGTAAATAATTTCAAGGATAACTCAATATTTTTGACAGCCAAAAATTGTCATTCCTACTAGATAAAATACCAACTGCACAATTAAAAACAATTGATAAAAAAAAAACGTTTAAAATAGAGTTTATTGATTTTTTTTCCTGAAATTGGTTTGATTTTATTTTTGGTTCTTTTTGATATAATTGTTCAGCAATTGATTCGCTTTTTGCTGAAGTAATATTTAAGTAAGTAAAACTAGCCAAAACTTGCCCATTTTTAGTGTAAAACTTTGAGCCCAATAGTCAACAAAACAAGGCAACATAATAATTCTGTAGTCACCATAACTTAACTGTTGTTCTCATCATTTTTGTTTCAAATATTAACCTAGTTTGACTGAAAAGTGTTTAAATTTCCGAATTTAGGTCTTTTTGTTCGGATAGTTCAAATCAACACTGTATCGAGGGTTAACTTTAACAATTCCCAATTTGACTTATTTGAGTCAATACAATCCCAAATCTAACTCCCCATAACTTACGAACAAAAAATTGCAGATGAAATTTTTATACAAATTGGGTTTTTGAAAGTTAATTTAAATTAGATAGTTTTAAAAATTGGGCCAAAAAGACCAATCCAAAAAATTGGAGCTTTTGAGGAATAAAAAAAACGAATGTCCCCACCTTTTCCTCAAAAATCAACCACGGTTTTCATCTAACCTAAGTTGAATTACTCTAGTTGTACCAAAGATTTGACTAAAAATGACTAAAAATTTTTAAACTTTTTTCTATTTTATAACGAAAAAACGAAATTTTTTTAACAGCAACAGCAAAGTGTTTTTTGTTTTCAATTCATAACTTAAGACCAAGTCATTTTTTTGTTTCTTAATTTTCTACAGGAATGTGCTAGCTATACTTTGCAGTTGGAAAAAATTAGCTTGATCTGGGCCCTTTATATCAACACCCGGATTGAAGTCCCACCAACACTTATAGCTTTTTCTGTAGTATCCCTGTGATCGCTATTTTCTACTGCTGATTCATGCATAAATCATAAATTTTTGCATAGTTAAACCTGCGATATTTCAGAGCTACTTCAGTAATGATTCCGTCGAAAACCAGCGCTAAAACCTAAAAAAAATCACCTCATTCTAGTAGTTTTCAAATGAAAGTGTGAAACTATGAGCACTTTGATTTGTCGTCATCTAAGGATTTGTATCGCAAAGATAACATACATGTCTAGGAAGCTGATGTTTGCGGGATCAAATTTCGGTAGTTCACTATTTTTGATCATTTTGTTTGGATTTTTTATCGCTGTTTCATCGCTCAAAACAAGCCAAATTAGCAATAATTCATCAATAAAATTGTTATTGTGGCGATAATCACCGATAATTCTCTCGGTTTTTTTTTCTCACTTTTTTAACATTGATTTTCAATGTGAACTCAATCCGGGTAGCCAACTGTGAGAAACCTTTTGTTTTGAAGTTTTAATTCACAATTCATTACAACAGACTTTAAGTATTTGCTTTTGTTTTTGTTGCACAAAAGGTGTTTGATAATAGTTTTTCAGCGCGTCGCAATTTTGTGTTTAATTACCTTTTAAATACTGGTAATTTTATGTAATCATTGACCGGTAGTTTTGGTGTAGTTTTTGAATAAAAGCCAAATTGTTTTTGAAAAAGCCAAAACTGATGTGTATTTAAAGTTGCGGTGATAATTTCGGCATAAAATTTTTTGGCTCATTAAAACTTTAAATGATTCGTTTTTTGAACAATTTAACAGGCTGGGCTAGGGCACAAAAAACATCAAATTTTGTCAGATAAAGCTCTGATAAAGTCAGCTTGTTATGTATAAATTCAACCCAATTTGAGATGAAAATGTTCATTTTTTTCTTTTTGACTCGTAAATTTAAATCAGCGGTAAAATTTCATCTTACTCTACCGTAAACTGCAAAAAGAACGATTTCAAATAGAACTGAGACGCACAATTTGTTTTTAAAATTGCGACATAGAGACAAAATCTGAATCATTTTGTATTTTAATGGCATGAGGGATATAAAATTTAGACGCAATTGCACATACACAAAATTGTTGACCGACAATTTTTTAATAGAGAGAGTTTCTTTTATGGCCCAAAAAATTACGGGTTCCTATAATCTTTTCAAATTCACATACATAAATAGCAAGAAGTTGATTCTTCGTTTGTCAAAAGTCATTTACGAAATTTTTTGCGGCCGTGTTGAGCGTATTTTTTAAATAAGATTTCAATTTTTTTTGTTGCGGAACAATTTATTATAGGTAGTGCTTAGTGATAACAGAAGTCTAGCACAGTAGAAAAATTAGGCCGCATAAATTGCACATGTCAGTTCTGCATACACCGTAAAGGTTAACAATGGCAGTTCTAAGTAAACAAATTTTTGAATTATCTCAACTGAAGTTTTTCGAGGTTTTCAAGAAAATGTCAAAACAGGAAAAACTAACCATTGTCCGAAAAGCACAAAACTTTTCGAAACGTTCCTAAAAATTTCGAGTTTTCTTATAGTTTTTGGCGCGGTGGAGATAGCAAACAAAATATTTCAAGTAAATTTAAGGCACAAAATTTCTTTTGAAAATTAAGTCAAGAGACGCAGCAACATACACCACTTTGTACTTTTCTCATCGCGTGAGAGATATAAAATTTAGAAACCAAATGAAAATGTTGCGCACAATTTCAACAAGTTTTTAAACTAAAATTTTTTCATCGACATTGAAGGAGAGTCCAAAAATTCCTGACTTAACTTATATTTTGAGCAGCATCGGGGCTTTTTGCTTCGACTTCTGAAAAAATGGAATATTTGTGCTCGCAATGGTTTTTTTTCTCCAGACAAGTTTCGACTTTTTCGCAATTTATACAGAAGTTGTTCTATCAGCCAAAAAGTAGCGTTGTCAAGGGCTGAACTTCAAAACGATATATCAGCTCTTGGCACTTTTTGTAATTTTATTGGCATTTAAAAATTAAGGGGGTTTATTGGTCTTTTTGGCCAAACTGGAATTCTTATGTTTATGTGAAGATTTAATTCGTGTTACAAATATTTCCAAGTTGAATTGCAGCATTGTAATTGATGTATTCAATAGTTTGCTACATTTAAACTGTTTCACCTTGCTTTTTACATAGCGTGTGGGGATGGTTTATACGAAAATTCAGGAAAAAAAAACAACTAAGATTTTTTAAAATCTTTTTTTGAAATTTTGATCAATTGTGCTAAAGCAAATACTATTCCTTATGCTTTAAAAAGTTTTGCGAACATTCAGGGCTTCGGCTTGCTACGAGCACTCTTCTATCACTTTCTCTTTACATAGCGTAAGGGGGAAATGTTCAAAAAAAATCTCCAAAATGAGTTTAATTTTTTTGAAAGCTTCGTCCATTTTTATAAGGTGAACATTGCGCCATCGACTCTAAAGGACACACGGAACATTCAAAGCTTCGACTTAAATTAAAGGAATATTCAAAGCTTCGACTTGATTCGAGCAGTCTAGTCTTTTTTATATTTAATTTTAATCAACCTTTTGAGAGCTAATCAGTGTTAAAATATTCCATCAAGTATGCTGAGACCAAGATGAATTTTTAAGATTTTTAATGATGTGAATTTTTCGCATTTTGCAGCGGTGGCAGAATAATTAGTCTTGTCATTTTGTGTTACGGAAATCAAGTGAAATGATTAACGATCAGTTTTTCTCCTCTGTGAAATTACAGCTGAAAAAAAAAGGGATTTCAATTCTGAAACTATGTGAATGCAACACCTAATAACATACCGTAACGCTATAATTGATTGCATCCATTTTTATGTTAACTTTTTTCATTCAAAGCGGTCCAAATTAAAAAGATAACTATGTACGAAATTTTTAATGGTAAATAAAGAAAGATATTGAGAGAAAAATTGATTGAAATGAATTCAAATGAAGTATATCAGTTTTTTTAAAAAGTTTTTAAGAAATAACAGCCGGATGCCTTGCAAATAGCAGAGGATAAAATGGCGACAACTATCTTGGTGCCAATAGTTACAATTAAAACAAGAGTAGAAACAGTGTAGAAATACTTAGTCTGCTTTTTTTTTTCTAGTTCAACCATTTTGAAAGTCTTGAGGTCAACCGAAACCCAGAAAAACAGAGCACAGCAGACAAATTTTAGGCAAAAATTCTGTTAATTTTGAGCACTTTATGGATGGTTTTGCAAAATTTGGAGATAAAAAACAGCTCGCGCTCCTTCAAAAAAAATGGGAGCGCCGATGGAAAAGTGACCTTAGGTAGAGACTGTAGCACTCCTGAGCTTTGTGTGGTCATTGTCAACACAGTAGTGATGCCTAGTGCCACTCTGGCTGGAGATGCCTCGGCCGAGATCCAGAAGGACACCCAGGAGAGGGTGACGATGAGGAAACTGGGCACGTATGTCTGGATCAAGTAGTATCGCATCAGTCGCTTTAGGAAGAACTGCGCTTCCAGGCAAGGATACGCGCCTGCAATCGCATTGAATGTCAGAAGTAGTTCCATATTATATTATAATAATTGATTTCTTGGAAGTACATATAATCTTAAAACTTATTTTTCTTCTCTTGAAATCAAATTTGATCCCAATTAATATTTTGGCATGGAAATGATGGTTAGGTTTCAATATGAAAAAATTGTGCAATCGCATTTAGTTTTTGACGTTCTTTCATTTGTGCACGGTTTCATTAGCGGAATTAAAGACTGGGACGTCAATTAAAAGCTTGACAAATAAAAAATAAAAGATAAATAAAAAAATTGATCCAGGAAAAGTAATTCTACAGAAATCAAGATGATTTTTTTGTTTTAAAGTTTTAATATCGAGCCAATTTTGCGAAGATATTTTTCTAGGGAGGGCGGGCGGCGTTTGGCTTCAAAAGTTTAACAACTTTGCCGACCTTTATTTTTAAGTCGACCAATTTGATTGATTTTCCGAGCTCCCTTAGAACATAATAAGGAACCGATTTAGCCAAAAAATCTGCATTGCAGGCAAATTTTTGAAAAAAAACAGGCCATAAATGACGTTTTAATTTTTAATGACGTTTTGCCAGTTATAACTTGATTTTGAGTCTTTGTGGCATACCTGTGGCATAGTTGCGCGTGCAGACTTGGGTGGAGTAGTTGGTAATGTGAAATTGTGGCAAGTTGATCTCCTTGTCCAGATCCAGGGCAGCACTCGACCCCTCCTCCACTCCCCCACTCCACTTGAACTGGATGTCCGAAGTGGTGTACGCATCTACGCAGACGCAAGAAAATGGTTTAAAAAGTGAAATCAATCGACTTATTAAGTTATTTCACTGAAATAATTTAAAGTTTTACTTCTATTTGAAATTACTAAGACTATTATTTAACCAAACCTGAAGCAAAAATGGGAAAAAGTTACGCATATACAACAAAAGTAGCCGGTCGCTATGAAAAAAGCACACATAAAAATGCTACGACCACAGTTAATGTTTTTCATTGCAAATGAAGACAAATGAATAACAAATGACTAGAATTTTTCTTAGAGGAAATTAGATCTCTTTGACCATTTCACTCTTTTACAAAAGGGGGGATTCGTTACTAGGTACAACATTCGCATATGCTTAGTCCGTGAACTTTTTCAATATAGGGGGTGTCAGTTTGTTACTAGGTACCATAGCGGGGGGAGGTATATTTAACAAGATTTTTTAAAATTACATTAGCTGCAAAAAAAGAGTCACTATTGATACCTCGTTACAGTGTCATGTACTATAAATTTTTAAGCTTTGTTTTTAAAACTCTTTCATGATATCAATTTGTTCGTTCTCAACGTTGAAGTTGGGTCATCTTCTTCCTATCGGAACGAAATAGTTAAGGGGATCCGAAAATTAAAACTTTTTCAACTGGTTGGCCCGCCGTATGGTATATGCTTTTACATTAATAGGTAGTTCAATTGCTTAAACTTTTAAAATAATTAATTGTTACTTTAAATTTAAACCCCTATGAAGACTGTTAAAGCGAAGACTTTCAAACTTAGCTTAAATTAAGTTTGATTGTATTCTTTATTCTGAAGCTGGGTCTTATTCTTCCTTTTGGAATGAAGTAGTTAAAGAAATCAGTTAAAGAAATTAAAGTTGAATGTCCTTAAGTTTTTAAAATGACTAATTGTTACTTTAAACTTAGACGCACAAAAAAATTTTTAAAGCAAAGATTTCCACACTTGGTTAAACTTGAGTTTGAATTTATTCTTTTTTTTGGGGTTGGGTCTTTTTTTTCCTTTTGGAATGAATAACTTAAGGACATCCAAAAATGACTATTTTTGAACTGTTTGACTCACCGGTTACTTTATGTTTTATACTTTGATAAGTTGTTCAATTTGCTAAACCTTTCAAAATAACTGTAGTCACTTTAAAAATAGACCCACAGGAAGACTTTTAAAGCGAAGACTTCCGCACTTAGCTATATTTGAGTTTGAACTTATTATTCCTTCTGGAGTTCGGTCTTATTCTTCATTTTGGACTGAATTAGTTAAAGGAATCCAAAAAATGATGTTTTTTGAACTGGTTGACCCACCGGTTAATTTATGTTTTTATATTCATAAGTCGTTCAGATTTTAAAATAAGTAGTTGTTACTTTGAATTTAGACACACATAACAACTTTTAAAGCGAAGTTCCACACGTATTCAAACTTGATTTTGAACTTATTTTTCTTTCTGGAGTTCGCTCTTATTCTTTCTTTTGGAATGAAATAGTTAAGGAAATCCGAACAATTACATTTTTTGAACTGATTGTTCAACCGGTTAATATATTATTTTCTATTAACAAGTCGTTCAATTTGCTGAAGCCGTCGAAATAATTGAACTTTTGCATTGGGGTGTTTTATTTTTTGCACGCAAAATCAGGTACCACAATTAATGGTTGAGTGATACATCTTAAAAAAGTGTTTTCAGTCGTGATTAAAACGTCATTAAAAAATTTTCAAAAACTTTTCCCAGTAATGAAACAAACTGCTTAAATTTTTTGATTTTTGTTTCGATTTTGAGGAAATGAAGCGAGCGAGCAGGCTTACAACAACCTAATTATGCTTCATTTAAGCCCTGAAAATATTTTTTAATCAAGTGAAAATAGATTTTAGCGTGTTTTTAGTGCCAGTTTGGGAACCAATAACTTCAAATAAATAAATACTTTTTTCGCAAAAAAGTTGGAAGAAAGGTTAAGTTTTTTTAACATCTTTGTATTTTGGTTTTTTTGTTTTTCTAGGCATTTTTCTACAAAAGGGTTTATCCAGTTTGCCTATATTACTACGAATGTCGAAAACACCTCAATTATAGCTTACTTCAGATCCTTTCTTTACACTAAAAAAGAACACTAATTAAAAAAAAACGTTTCTGTATTTTTTAAAAACGTCGGTGGGAACACTCTCTACTACTGGCACAGTAACTGGCTATCATCGTTCTTCATTTTGAAGTTAGATTTTATTCTTCCTTCTGGAGTGAAATAGTTGAGGATATCCGAAAATTGGTTTTGCTTGAACTGATTGACCTGCCGGTTATTACATGTTTTTATATTACTAAGTAGTTCAATTTTCTTCGGCTTTCAAAATAACTAGTGATACTTCAAATGTAGAGCCACGTGAAGACTTGAGACAACTCAGTACCTATACAACTATTTCATAGTTTTTTTTATTACTCTCCTTATTATCAGTACTGTTTTTTTGCCATTTTTTTTAAAGTTTGGTACATTTTTACTCAGCAACTCAAAAATCGTGAGACTTTTCTCTAAAATTGTATTTCGTAATTTATAATACTATCAAGTATAAACAGTTGGTGTGTAAGTAGCACAGAATGCTCTGAACACAAAAACCTATATATTTTTTCAAATTTTCTTTTTTTTTCTTCATTTACAGGAAAATTTTTTGTTAATGATGATTAAATTAGTGAAAAAGATTGAGATGTGATATTAGGTAAATTAAATTAAACTTGTAGTCGAAATTAAATGGTAGACCAGCCTCTTGCCACTTTTTGTCTAAATCAACCTGAAAACCGAAAATATTCAAACCAAAATTTTTCCGACTCTGAATGGTTCTCGACATGTTTTTATGAATCTAAACGACGAGCAAAAAAGCTTTAAAAAGATTACACACTTTAATTGACGCACTTTGAGTTTTCCTTGAGATGGTCAAAGTTGGCTAAAAAAAACTGATCGCAATCCACGTTGGCGGTTTTTCAAAAACTTCGTCGAAAAATTTGTCGACCGTTTTTTCAAGATGACCAAATTGATTTTACGAGCACTCCCAGTATACTATAAAGACCCTATTTTGATAATAAAATTTGCACACAGGCAAATTTTTGAAAACACATGCCAAAAACGTTGTTTTTGGGCATTTTTTGGAAAGCATTGACCGAAATAAAAAAAAATTTTTTCCGGTGCGTGCTCCCCTTCAACATTAGTATACATTGGCGCCAAAGGCGCCTTTAGAAAAGTTTTAGCGTTGGCCGGCCTAAAATGGACTTTATAAAACAATGCCAAAAGTGGGACCCTTTGATTGGTGAGGGGGATCGAATAATTGAGAAAAAAAAGCTCGTATGCCCCCACCCCCTTAAATCCGCCCCTGCCCTAATCCATGGTTTTTTCTACTTTTCGAGTTGTCGGCACAATATTATAATGAGCTCAAAATTCGGAATAATTAGTTTCCGAAATAATTATTGTTAAAAACAGACTGGGGCGGTCATCAAATAGCAAATTGCCGTTCAAACTGACGCTTCTGAAAAAAGATTGTCCACTTCTTAAATTCTTAAATTACCTTATTTTGAAAGGATTTATAGAACAACTCACAGCTCTCGAGTGTGATGACGCACTTCTGTTGGTCCATGGGGAAGTATTGCAGCTGCATGGGACAACTCAGAGTCAACGTGATCCTAGACATACACAAACCCCAATAAATGCATTTTATAACTCAAAAATGAAGCTGGAATTCCTGCTTTGATTTAATTTTGGACAAAAATTTCCTTGTTCTTATTATCGATATAGTGTTTACTGCGGGGAATGCTGCGGACGAAGGCTTATGAGGCTGAAAAAAAAAGAAAGATCAAGCTGACTTGGCTGAAGCGGGTTGACCATAGCTATATATATATATATATATATATATATATATATATATATATATATATATATATATATATATGAATAGAAAAAATTTTGGTCATGCAGATTCCACGCGACAAGCTGGTCTCCTTTTGATAATCTCTAAAGCCGAACAGAAGTGTGAACGCACAAATTTCAATGTTTGATTAAAAAGTTAATAATAATAATAAATTGTTTTTTTAAATTGGTATGTTACAATCAAAGATAGTTTTATTTATAATTTGATGAAGCACCAATTTGGGACATCATGAGATCTTTCGATCTGTCGAGTGACGTCTCCTAGTTTCAGGCTTGAAAATACAATGATTAACAACTCTTCACCTGGCACTGTATAGAAGCTCCCCATTGGGTTTGAGTCTCAGCAGTTTGTTATCGGTGGTGATCTGATGGAAGTTGGCCGCCTTCTCGTTGATGATGAAGGTGTCTGGCACCCACAGTTTCTTCAGGAACGAGGGCGTCAGACTCACTGACGTGTTGTACTCTGTGAACTGTAGTCGGGGGTCCACCCACATCTGACGCAGGAAAATGGTCGCCTTGTAGTCCTGATTTATAAAAAAAAATAACAAACCTAACATAGATTCACCGGATCCGACTAACAATTTTTCTCACGCTGAAAGTAATTTTTGAGTTTTGATATTGTACATTTTGGTGTTCCACATTCGGCGGAGAAGGTTGCTTATAATTTCATATCATGCAAACTATTTTCAAGTTTTTATAAGCATGTCTTAAGTCCCTATTGAGCTATCTTCACGATCGCGCGATCACGAGAATGGGGGTGGGGGAGAGATTGATCAATTGATCCGGTTGACAAAATAAGTCCACTTCTCATAACATTAGTCAGCATGACAAGGTGATTGAAAAAATATATATAATTGATGACAAAAATAAGGATGTTTTTTTTCCAACTGTTTCCCTTAACTATTCTTCCATCCAGCTCACTTCTATCAAGGCTCTAGTTAGAAGAGCTTGATTGCTCAATTTGAGTCCCTGTCGAATATGATGATCTGTATGTATTTCCTCAATGTATTTCATTGATTATGCTACTGAGTTCAAACTCAAATTCAAAAAAGTCAAGAACACATGAACTCTCCCAATCATAAATTTTCCAAAATACAAATTTTCCAGAATTGTCTACAATGCAAGCTGTTTTTGAGAAAATATCAATTTTTTCCCGTCAAATATAGGCATATACTGGCAAAAACCCTCAGCATTTTCGATCCAATTAGGATAACGAAGCAGTACTAAAGATAGCGAGGAGGTCGAATTTCACACGAAGTCCCAGAGAAACCTGTAACGAACTTAGGGACATCCCCTCAAGAGCTCAAATTTCTAACTGCCCAATAGTTAGTTAACTTTGCTACTAATTTAAGACATCCATTTTTGACTGTCGGATCAAAAGACGCTTTCGGTGATAAAAATAATTGGTTTGAGTGACTTAATTTAAATAATCTTTTTAAGTCTAAACTGGAGTAGACCAGATCATCAAAATGCAAAGTGGTCTGACTAGACATCAGCCGAAGAGGATGCAAGAAAAAGATCCGGGCTGTCTTGCTGAGAATACGAATTTTTTTATTTATTTTTTGATACCTGGGATCTGAGTAATTGGAAATAAATGGTAGGAAAGTATGACGGGAAAAACTAACTGCGCAATTCTATCAACCTAAACTTAGTTGAGTAGAAAAAGATCTGTCGTATGACCTAAATGAAAAAAAAATAGATTTAGGTGTCGATACAACAGGCCGGTCTATTGACAGACTGTCCTATTGGCACAATTCCGGCACACTACCAACTCTGGATTAGTCAATCAGTTCTTGCTTATATCGAAAAACGAGTCTCCAAACTTTTTAATGTTCTAGCAGATAATCGGCAAAGTTTTGCGGCGGAAATTTCTTTTAAATTTTCTCCCAAGACAACAGATACAAAAGAATTTCAACAAGCTGGTAGTTCACTAAAACGATCTATCAGTGAACCGATAGCGAGCGGACCAGATGACTAAAGCGAAATTGTACAAAAACTGTTTCATTAACTAATTAACAGCATTAATCAAAGACTCGGATTTGCCCACTTTATCTTATTTTTTTTGCAAAGCCAAAATTCTATAGATTTTTGAAAAAGCATTTGAAATAATAATTATTATGTAATTGTTCCGACTTTCGATACGAAAGTAACGGAATATTTGTGCTCGGGGTGGGGTTTTTTTCTTCAGACAAATTTCGACCTTTTAACTAGCCATTTTTGACCGTTTTTTTTTCTTCAGACAAATTTCGACTTCTTAACTAGCCTTTTTAACTAGCCGTTTTATTTCCTTGATTTTTTAAATGTTATTGCTGCTCCATAAACCTTAAAAGGCAGTCGGAACTTTCAGGGCTTCGCCCTGATACGAGCAGTCTTGTTCGATTTTCTGATCTAGTAAATTGCTCGTCAACAGTTGCAAATTTAGATGTTCGCTTCTAAATGCCAAAAAAATGCCAAAAGTATACCATTTCGGTGCAGAAAACAAAAGTTTCTCAAATTTTGGAAACGAAAACGCTAAAAGGGGACCCATTCTGTTCTCATGTGAATATAACAATGCTACAATTAACTTGTGATATACCTAAAAATTTTGGCTGAATTGTTTGATTTTATCGTTGCTTTGAATTATAGGCTAGTTTTATAAGGTTGTTAAGTTGAAACTTTCTGTCTTACATTTTTGAGCCGACCCTTGAATATAGAAGAGAGCATTAAGCAAACAGATGTTGAAGAAATTCAAATTTGTTTTAACTTAGCGGAAAAAATATTACTGCCGAAAAACACATTTTTGTCGCCAAAAACGCAGTTCTTTCCTCCGAGGTTCAGCTGAAATATGCCAAAAAATACTCGTTCTGCTTGCAATCCTTTTAATAAATCAAAAAGACTGCTTATATCAGGGCAAATCCTTGAGTATTCCGAAGGCCATCTAATTGGTCTCGGATATTTTTCGCTGAAACAAATTTAGCAAAACTATAATTTTTATGCTGATAATTTTAAAAATAACATTACGAGGCCAAAATGTACATTATGTGCATTGCAACTGGACTCCGCAAAAGACCAAAAACATTGCTACTTTTCTTTGACCTTCTTTGCTGTTTTCAATTCGACAAACAAATACCTAAAAGACTCTACCGCTCAAAATTGCTGCAAAAACTTGCGAGTTTGGGAAATCCTTAACGATATTTGCAGAATCCAGAAAAATTTGTGAAATCTTCGAACAAATAAAAAGGCATGTTTATATTTAAACTGAGCTGTTGTGGAATCCGCAAATTTTAAGTGGAATCTGCAAACTGTAAGTGGAATCCGCATTTTGTTATGTGTATATATGTAGTAGCGTATAAAGTTATATCTTTTAATTACTAGGTGGTAACGAGAAAAATTCAATCTCCAATACGAAATTACTACATTGATCAATTACCTGTTGAAGTTCCTAACTTTCAATCTCAATTTCTGTCAAAGACCCACCTTCAGTATTTGGGATTGAATGCTTAGAATTATAGGCTAGTTTTATAAGGTTGTTAAGTTGAAACTTTCTGTCTTACATTTTTGAGCCGACCCATAATTATAGAAGAGAGGATTAAGGAAACAGATGTTTAAGAAATTCGAATTTGTTTTAACTTAGTGGAAAAAACATTACTGCCGAAAAACACATTTTTGTCGCCAAAAACGCAGTTCTTTCCTCCGAGGTTCAGCTGAAATATGCCAAAAAATACTCGTTCTTCTTGCAATCCTTTTAATAAATCAACAAGACTGCTTATATCAGGGCAAATCCTTGAGTATTCCGATGGCCATCTAATTGGTCTCGGAAATTTTTTGCTGAAACAAATTTAGCAAAACTATAATTTTTATGCTGATAATATTAAAAATAACATTACGAGGCCTAAATGTACATTCTGTGCATTGCAAGTGGATTCCGCAAAAGACCAAAAACATTGCTACTTTTCTTTGACCTTCTTTGCTGTTTTAAATTCGACAAACAAATACCTAAAAGACTCTACCGTTCAAAATTGCTGCAAAAACATGCGAGTGTGGGAATCCTTAACAATATTTGCAGAATCCAGAACAATTTGTGAAATCTTCGAACAAATAAAAAGGCATGTTTATAGTTAAATTGAGCTGTTGTGGAATCCGCAACTTTTAAGTGGAATCCGCAAAAGTAAGTGAAATCCGCATTTTGTTATGTGTATATATGTAGTAGCATATAAAGTTATATCTTTTAAATACTAGGTGGTAACGAGAAAAATTCAATCTCCAATACGAAATTACTACATTGATCAGCTACCCGTTGAAGTTCCTAACGTTCAATCTCAATTTCTGTCAAATACCCACCTTCAGTATTTTGGATTGATCGAATGAATCCCATATATTGACCTAATTTGGCGATATGCTGTGCATCGTTTTTCTAAACACTCCCAACCCAATGACTCCAAATAATGAATTTATTCCATATTTTTTCCATATTGTTCCAGAATTTGGGATTCCATCAATCCCAAATACTGACCAGTATTTGGGATCGATGAAACCCCAATTACTGACATAAATTGGCAACATGCTGTGCGTCGTTTTTCTAAACACTCTCAACCCAATGACTCAAAATAATGAATTTATTCGGTGCTGTGTTTCCAAAATTATGATCCCAAAAATTGTTTTCTGAGATATGTATCACAGATACTAAAAGATGACATCCACCGATTTAGTTAACCAATGTTTTAAAGTTTGTTTGTGGATTCCGTTTTTAATGGGTTGCTAAAGATAAGAAATCCAGCTCTAGCTTTTAATTGTTCATATGCAAAATCAGTAATAAACAATGTTCGGATCCCACTTCTAGTTTTCGGATTCCACTTACAATTGCGGAATCCAATTATAGTTGCGGAATCCAGAACAACTAGTTATATTTACTTGTTGCGGATTCCATGACACAATAAATGTGCTGACAAAAATTACGTTACAGTAATTTGTACGCGGAATCCATGGAAATTTAGTAAGTGGAAACCACTTACATTTTGGAACATGTTTAAAGATTACTTTCTGGAATCCAGGAACATACAGACGAAAAATTGTGCGCCTATTCAGTGCACAGTTTGGCCTCGTAATGTAAGTTAAAAAACCAATTAGCTGCCTCAATTCAATTTGGAACAATTTTGAAGAGCGAGATAATAAAACAAGCAATTTTAGACAGAATCATGCGTCATGCCAGTTTATTAAAGTGGTGTGCACGCTCGGCTGGCCCGATGCAGATCAAGATATCAATACTCCGAGGGATCAGAGTTTTGTAAAAGTGGTCTGAATAAAAAAAAACCACCCGAGCAAATATATTCCTCGTTTTCTTCGAAATTCGGAACAACACAACACAAAATTTCTTTTTGCTTAAAAAACCTTGCAGTACTTGGTTTTCCAAACTGATCGTTGAAGAATTACAAAATAATTCATGATTGTGAAATATGGGCTCTAGGCTAGAAGAGTAAAAAATAATGCAAGATTTACATTCCAATTTTATCAGAGCAGTTACAGGATCACGATCTCGGATCCGACA